CAGTTGCCCTAATTTCAACCCAGATCCCTGATAATGGCCTGGAAAAAGCAGTGGAGGATGGCTCAAATGTTTGGGTCCCTGCCACCCATAGGGGAGACCCAGATGAAGGTCCTGGCCCTGGCTTTGGCCTACCCCAGTCCTGGCCACTGCAGCTGTCTGGGAATGAACCAGCAGATGGAAGATCTCTCTTTAACTCTCTCAAAATAAGTCAATAAAACATTAAAAACATTAAAGACTGAATCCTCATCTGTAAAACTGATCTTGGGCAATGAAGGGAAAGCCATAGCAGATCCCCATGCCAAGTCAGCTAGTATTGAAATGCTTAGGCAATTTGAGTGAATTCCATAAAACTAGTCCAAGTCAACTTGTTTAGGGTGTTCTGTTCAATAAACAGTACAGAAACCTTGGTTCAGAAAGGTTGATATGAAAGGATGTGAATTCCTGTTGAGAACGGACTCAGGAAGGAGACACAGCTCTCCGGTCATTCCTGAGTCCTAACAGCTCTGCACTCTACAATTCACCTGACACAGGCAAGATAACCCAAATTATGAGAAAAAGAATTCATGAGCTGATGATCCTAAAGTGGCTAAAATGGCTTACATATAATGTTTGGTTTGCCAAATCCAAAAAAAAACTGGGAAGACAACAAAAACTTCAGATGGTGTACTTTCATCACCTGAGGGGCCATGTGAAAGCTTACAGATGCTTTTCCTTCAGTTGCCATTCTCATTGAGGCATCTGTACTTGTAACAGGCGGAATGCTTTCTGCTTCAGCGTGCGGGAAGGCTGATGCTCTAACTAAGGAATTAGAAGTCATACCTCCTTTACAGAGCATCCCAGGAAAAATCTCCAGTGATAGAGAAATCCATTTTCCTAGCAAAATCACAATGCAATTAAACACGACCCTGCAAACATGGTAGCATCACAGTGGTTCCTGCTGCCCTCAGACTGAGGATCACGGAGTCCATGGGTTCGCAACAGTGTCCCTGTTGGCTTTAGTGGCAATCAGATCCACTCCTACTGGAAGACAGAAATTGCATGAGATAATTACCGGAAGGTCTCTACCCTTCGGGACAGAGGACAGCATGCCTCCTGGATCCATTGGGTAAAAGAAGCTTTTCACACTTCATGACCCCCCAACGGTGACAACCAGACCTCTTACTCTACAGTGCAGACACTGGACCTTTCAGAAACAAAATCAGAGGGAAAAAAAAAAATGTCTTTGGAACTCTCTGGGTAGAAGCTTCCTAAGCTCTTCTCACTGTCCAAACTACAAAACAACAACAAAAACCTTCCGAACTTCAAAGACCCTTCTTGATGCTTGCAATGGGACACCTGTTGAAGACTTTAAGGGAAAGCTGACCCAGGAAATCTCTGCTCAGCAGCAGCTGTTATGCTAAGACATGGACAGCTTCCCCAAGGTTTGGATCAAGACTTCTGTCACCATATATGTCTTATCCTTTCTCTTCTTCTTCCCTCACTCTGCCATTTTGGCCCTTTCCCTCATGGAGCAGCATCAGTAGATGGCTTTAGCAAAAGAGAAACCACGGGGAAGTTCAGAGTACCCACAGGATCTGGGGAACAACCATGCCAAAAGGCCAGGAAAGGGTTCCATTCATGCCAACATTTAACTGTTTCCAACAAGAACACATCCTGAAGCACTGAAGGAAGAATGGAAAATTATCCTTGATGTTGTCAATGTTACCATACTTTGCTTCTCAAAGCTCACTGACAGTGGTGCTCCAACCAGCACCACCACGAGCACAGCCACCGCCAACAGCAACTGCACAAGGCATACTATGTTTCTACGTGACAGACAATTGAGATCTGAACTAAGGTAGGAGTGACAGCTCACATAATGTCACTGGATTTAAAATCAGCAAGAACCTTGGCACGACACAATGATGTCCCTTACAATAGCTGTTAGACCATCTGGAAGGAAACCGGCCATTTCTCTTTGTTCAGGCATGCAGATTCATGGGAAAACAGAACTAACTGCTCAAGATGGTCACCAGAGGGCCACTTTCCATCTCTGGAAGACCTAGCGTGGATCTGTGGATAATTTACTTATTCTTTTTTGTTGTTGTTGGGAAGACTTTTTTTTTTTAATTGGAAAGGCAGATTTAGAGAGTCAGAGAGGAAGATCTTCTATCTGCTGATTCATTTCCCAAGTAGTCACAGTGACCAGAGCTGAGCCAATCTGAAGTTAGGAGCTTCCTCCAGGTCTCCTACATGAGTGCAGGGTCCCAAGGCTTTAAGCTGTCCTCCACTGTTTTCCCAGGCCGCAAGCAGGGAGCTGGATGGGAAGTGGAGCAGCTGGGACACAGATCAGCTGGATTTAAGGCAAGGATTTAGCCACTAGGCCACCATGCCAGGAACCAAGAATTATTCTGTCTGTCTTTCCACACATTTGGGTCTTGCTATTTCGGCAGGCACACTCCTGCCTTCCAAACAGTGTCTCAGCACTGTGTACTGTGTTGATTTACTCAGAAGCTGTCAATAGTTACCATCACCCCTTGTCTCAGAGATGGTCTCACGGAGGCTGGAGCAGACAATGTAAAACATAAGGCACATCTATTAATTTAACAAGAATCCTTTCTCTGTGTCATCACTAGGTCACCTTTATGAGTTAACACAATAGGTGCAAATCCAACCTAAGGTCCCCGGGTTGACCAAGTGCAATGTTGGCAATTAGTTTCTTGTCTACTTTTTTATATTTCAATATTCTAATATCGAAGCCCGCCTAACAGCAGAACATCCTCTAAAAAAGTGATTTTATAAGGATGCAGCAGTTAAGAGGTGAATGCCAAGATGAACAGAAGGTAAGGAGTTAGCAGGGTGACAAGCCCTTCTAGGATACAACCATGAATGTTCTGAAAAACATTTCAGTCCAACAGAGAGAAGGTGACACTCAGCAACTAGTTGAGGCTGGTTTCTCCCTGGGTGGCGGCTGGCCCAGCGCCTCCTTCCAGCTCAGGGGGAGCTTCCATGTGGTCACACTTTGGCAAACTGAAGGGCTTCAAGTAAGGACGGTACTGGCACAGAAGGGTTCCTTTGCTGCCACTCACCCATGTTACAGGGCAGGAGAGGGGTCCTCATTAACCTACCCCATAACTATATTTGGGAAAAAGCAAGCTTTGTGCTTTTAACAAAAAGATCCCTCCACCCCTGGTGTCCTGTGCTGCTATTATGGCTTCAGTAAAAATATCACGGGTTTTCAGAGTCTCAGCTGCACCACAGACAAGCCGGAGGGAAATCATGAGTCAAGCTCCTTAAGAAGGAGTGTAAAAATACCAGCGGGTACGGCATTGGAGAAGGAAGCCAACTCCCCCGCACTGCAGTACCTGTGTCTGCTTTTCTCCTGATGGAACTGGAGTGTTTGTGTGGGAACACTTTCAACAAAATCAAACTGGAATGCCCTGACTTTGAACAGGAAATTACGTCACTTTCTGAGAAACAGTGGGAAAGGACAGAAAGGCTGGGGGCAGGACGAAGCACGCTGTCCTTCCTCAACTGGGTTTGCTGAACCCAAGTTTGTGTTTCTTGAAGTTTAGAAGGCGGCTTCCTTTGTCACGTGGAAGTAGGACAGCATGACCCTGGTTCTACATCCTGAGACAGAGGGAGAGTACCAGCATGCTTGTACCCTGCCATCTGTGGAGGGAGGGGTGCTGCTGTGCAGACAGCACAGAGCGATCAGAGCCAATTTCCTCTCCCATCAAAAAGCAAAGACCTGTATCATCCTCCACATCGTTACTCGTGTGCAGCTTTTTACATAAGAACAATCGGCAGAGAATAGTGAACAGTCTGGGTTCCGAGAACTACAGGCACTCTGACGTTTTAAAAGTGAGGATGAGAAAGCTAAAGCTTCCACATGTTACAGGAAACTGAGCAAAGACAGGTCCCTTCAGGAGAGCTCCCGGAGAGGCTGTGACCACACTGTGGTGTGTGGACACCTCCAGCCATTGCAGCCCGCAGACACGGGCCTCAGCACACAGAACCAAGACAGAAAATGGACAATGCTGCTCAAGATTAGAATCATAAGAGGTGCAGTTTGTTTCTTTTTAGATGGCCAGCTTAGAAGGCAGTTGAATACTTTTGGTAAGGCACGAATTAATAGTATCGCTCAAAAACCGCTTGGCTTGAGGCCACATTTGAGAGGAGCTGTGAATTTCTTTTGAGGGGTAGACACTTGACCCAGCAGGTAAGCCTGTGGCTGACCACATCACTCCTCCACCAGCCGTGCCGGTGCACCAGCCTGGCTCCAGTTCCTGCATCCAGCTCCTTGTTCATGGGAGGCAGCCATGGAGGCCCAAGTACTGGGTTCCTGTCATCCACATGAGGTGCCTGCATCACACAGCTGGGGCGTGTTCTTTTGCTCTTTCTCCCTCTCAAGTACATAATCTGAAAATTTCTTATCTATCATCAAGTTATGCAATTAAATTTAACTTCCATGATGAAGCTGCATGTTAGTTACTGACATTAGAAACTGCATTTAGTTACAACTATACTACAAATTAATGATGAAATCATAAAGTCTTCTTAATACAATAATTGGTAGACTGATAGAATATCAACATTTTCTATCATGAAACGGACTTCTTAACCTATACCCTAAAACATGTATTTTTCTTTCTAGACAAACACACAGTTGTTCCTTACTGTCTAGCCACCCAAGCCTGCTGAGAAGGGAGTCCTAACTTTCTTGTGAATTCAAACAACACAGAAACCACTGCTGGTGTCCTGTGCGCTCCGTGAATTGCCTTCTCAAAGTCTCTGCTTCCAGAAGTTTTTTAGGTTGTTTTCCAGCCATAGGCGATGTTCAGATCTCAGACTAATCTTGCACAGGTCAGACTGCACCAGGCACAGACTCTTCCCTTGGTTAAGTGCTCCATTCAATAACCTAGCCAACTAGCATTTTATAAAGCACAGGGAACCGGTTGGTTACTCATCCATGCCTGGCACTCCTACAGGTACAGGGAAGCCTTGACGGAATCAGGAAATCAATGACTTCTCTCCCTGGCATTAACCAGCTTCTGGCAACTACCCGTCTTACGTGTGATGATCACTGATGTTTGTCAAATGGCAGGGAAGTCATGCTAAGGGTGGTCAGCTGAGCCATGCATTCCCACGGTCCACCAGGACCAGGCAGGGCCACCAGGGTCACTCTGCAAAAGAAAAGAAAGGAAGACACAGGATGAGTGCCCGACACACCACTGGCTCCCCAGGATGGTTTTATGTTTAACCAACAGAGAAGTGAACAAGAATTAAACACCAGCACTTCTGGTTTAGGGCTATTTCACAATTCCTTCAGGCCGCAGAAGAGAGAGTTAACTTATACATGTAAAAGGGGGAAGATTCAAAAAATAAGAAGAAGCTTTTAAAACTTTACATCTTCCATTGGTTGCTTTTATTCCTCTCAGTCTTCAATTAAGAGTGGAGACCAGGCAAAAGAGAAGACTATAATTTTTACCTCCACTTTCTGATGTCCTATGCTATGGTTTCATAAGTTTGAGTATGCTAATATGAAGCATAATATTACTAAAAATACAAGTGTGTGTACAAGTTTTAATACATAATAAAGTCTATAGTATATGTCTATATGTATGAAACAAATACACAGCATTGTATATGGTGATTATGAATTTATACCCGTAAGAATGTGTATACAAATCATTTGATGCAAAATATCTATGCACATGTACATACAATCAACTTTATTTAAACCTGTGATCCAGGTAAATGCCTGCAGGTGGCTGTGGTTCAATCATGAGTCAGAAGGATATGTGACTAAGTGGCTAACGGTCCATGTTGTGTGATGTTACTGGCTGTGAAGATGGAGGAAGGGGGCCACAGGCTAAGGAATGGGCTGTAGGAGTGGGTGAGGTTGGCACATGGAAGGGAACAGGTTGTCCCCTGAAGCCTCCAGGAAGAAACACACTCAGCCATCACCCCCTCAGAGCCTGCCAAGACCACATCAGGCTTCTGGCCTACAAAACTGCCAGGTAATAAACTTGTGCTGTTTTCAGTCACAACATATGTGACAATCTGTTGCAACGGTAACAGGAAGCTGACAGAGAGTGATTTGGGTCAACAAGCAAAAAGCTTCACGGGAGGAGATGATTCATCCCCTAAAGTGAGTTAGTGCAGTCACCTCGCTTTCTGAGCCCAAGTTAGTGTATCAGGCAGACAGAGGGCTTCTAATGTTAGACTCGGGGAGAGTCCAACCCCGTGGAAGGGGAGCCACCCTGTTTGGCAAGACAAGTCACAAAGCAGAGGCTGTAAAAAGCATGAGGATTTGTATTGATCATTCGTGAATGGGCGACAGAGTCTCTGGAGACATCCTAGAGTCTGCGCACCTCAAGCAGGTTAAAGCACCTTTTTAAAGGACAAAACCACAAACTTTGCATAACAGCTAGCATTTTACTTTAAGATTAGACAGCGCCAGGGCTCCCTTGGCTTGGCATAACAGTCTGCACTTTCTCAGACTGTTATGCCTCCCTTTCTTATCCATCACATTCTTGTGTTGGCCTTGCTGCATCGGCCTTGCTACCTTATCTCCTCCATTCCTGTAGCTGCCTTGTTCATGTCTGGGAAACTGAAACTTTTACTTGTTTCACAAAATAACTTTTCTATATTTATTCTAACATGGCTCTACTCTTGCTCAGCAGAAAGCAATATACAGAAGCAAAATCAAGCGGTTATTCTAAGCTCTTACACTAAGAGAAGAGAACAGGAAGAACTTGGAGAATATGTTTTGGCACTCAAAGTACCCCTCCTTCCCACCACCAAGTTTGGAAAAAAAATAAAAAAACAGAACTCAAGAGGCAGGTAAAAGATGGAACTCTTAGGAGACAAGAAATAAAGATTTATAAACAGTGGTAAAAGACACAGAAGATATTTCTTTGTATCCAATACCTTTTGGGGGCTGGTCCTATTTCTCCACCCATTTCCTAGGACAGGTGCATGCCCATGTACAATGGGAGGAGCCACAAACTCTCAGTCATTGTTCTAGACCAGCTTCACATGAGCTCTCTCCTTTGCATGTGGAAGAGAGGAGTCACTTGTGCTTATAAATAGCCACCACGCCTGCATCCCACTCACTGTGTAAGGAACCATCGTCATGCGTGGGGACTGTGGCTCAGGGGTAAAGCTGTTGTCTGTGACAGCGGCAGCCTACATGGATACCAGCTTATGTCCTGGCTGCTCCACTTCCAATCCAGTTCCCTGCTAATGGCCTGGAAAAGCAGCAGAAGATGGCCCAAGGCTTGGACCTTTGTCACTCATGCAGGAGACCCAGATGAGAGTTCTCACTTCCGTGTGGCCCACCCCTGGCTGCTACTGTCCTCTGATGAGTGAAGCAGCAGGATGATACATCTCTCTCTCTTCTTCCCTCCACCTCTGTAACGCTTTCAAATAAAATCACTCTTTATAAATATTCACTTATTTTTACTTGAAAGGCAGAATTACAGAGAGAGAGAAGGAGAAAAATAAAGAGATCTTCCATTTACTGGTTCACTCCCCAAATAGACACAATGGCCAGAGCTGGGCTGGTCTGAAGCCAGGAGCCAGGAACTTCTTCCAGATTGATCTCCTGCAGAGGTACAGGTGCCTAAGGGACTGATCTCTCCCCCGCTGCCTTCCAGGCCATTAACAGGAGCTGGGTCAGAAGCGGAACATTTAGGACTAGAATTGGTAACTAGATAAGCTGCTGGCACCACAGAGGCTTAGCTTGCAACGCCATGGTACACCTCCAATATATATAAATCTTAAGAAAGAGAGAAGAAAGTGCTTTTTAAAGAAAGCACTTGAGGAAACACCAGAAAGAGCTTGAATGATGGGTCTGCAGGACACAAAGGATAGGAATAAGAATCCCAATTTCACAAGAATTGTGGACATTTGTCTTCCCTTACTCCACATCTGTGAATAAGGCACAAGGTGGCATGATGTGCAAAACATGAAGTGTTTGGGCCAATGTGACAAAATTATTATTTAAAGTCTTACAATGTTGGTGAGAAAAGCAAATGCATAAAAGCTGGGAGCCATGCAGAATGCACTGACTTTAATTAGCAATGACCTTCTTCTCCCATGAGAAAGTATGCATGGCTTTGCTCCAAAGGGCATGGGCCGCTACAGTGGACAATGGTGTTGGTGTGAAATGTGCATGCTCCCCAGCAATCACGGTGGGACACAGGCAGCATCAGGATGCCAGATGTTCTAGAGGGATGCTCTGTCCCAGCTGTAACTGTGTGATCAGAAAGGCAAATTTACCTGAAGCTCGGGCTCCCTGCCTGGCATTAATCCAAAGTGACATAAAATCTGTTTTTTTTTTCCTTTGCAGTCCTGGAGAGAAGCAAACCAGGTAACAGACTGTTGGTGAACAGAGTCATGCAAAGTAGTGAGCAATTCATATTCTGAACTTTCTGTCTGGTCAAGAAGACAGCCATGTTAGCCACAAGTGGTGACGTGCAGGTGGCCACGTCTTCGAGCGGATCCGTGGCATTTACACCTGAAGTGATTCACCACTGTCTCAAAAATGACATATGCTTGAGGCAGAAGTTTTGCCTGTTTGCTTATTTTGAGAGGCAGAGAGAGGGGCAGAGCACTGCCTGCTAGCTAGCACTGCCTGCTAGCTTGTATGCCTGGAACTCAATTCAGGTCTCCCAAGTGTGTGGCAGAGAGTCCACTGAGTCACGAGCTTCCTACCAGGGTCTGCAGTATCACGTGGCTGGACTTGGACTGGGGCTGGCACTCCAACACGGGCATCCCAACCTGCCTGCACTCACCCCTGACTCCACCCTGCTGAGATCCAGCAACTGCTCTCTGATTTCTTAATGCTATGGTATAAGTATAGGTTCCACGTTAGGAATCATCTTCAATGGCACAATGCAATTACATATTTGAAATACACCATTTGTTTAACCATTTATGTAAAATATAGTTAGAATGTCCAAGTTTTTGCATTTTTAAAAATCATGCCGTACTATAATACTGAAGCCAAAGTTTTGGTATGCTGTTGAAGGGGGTAGGGATTATTTCCTCAGGAGTTTCCTGGAACCACCATAACTAGGTCAGCTGATTGGACATTTGAAACTGTATTCCATAACACCAAACTGTATTGCCAAAGACACATGAGAGCTGCTCTGCACTCCACAGTGCCTGCTGACGGGCCACTGCACCTGAGGCACACCGTGCTTGGCTTCAGGGAACTGCCTTGCTGCCATAACAGGCATGGTTAACCACATCTCTGCCCTGCTTAGGAAAAATGCTGCAGTAGTTGAGCAGACAATGGCAAGTCAGGGACCTGGGTTTGTTCTGCCTTTATTTTATATGCATGTAACCCAGGCTCACAGCCTCAGTAAGACAGTTTTCCCATCTGTGAAATGGGACTAAACCATTAAGGTCCTGATTATAAAATTGCAGTATCTACCAGAAATATAGAAAACCAAAGAATTATACATATTGTAATGCACAGGACCTCAACTCGATTTGATTTATACAAGTTAGGAATTCATACGTGGTGGTGGATTTTTTTTAATTTACTTTTTATTTATTTGAAAGGCAGAGTTACAGAGAGAGGAGAGACACAGAGAAAGAGATTTTCCATCTGCAAGTTCACTCTTCGAATGCCCACAGTGGCCAGGGCTAGTCCAGGCTGAAGCAAGAGTCCTGAGCTTCTTCTGGGTCTCCTGTGTGGGGGCAGGAGCCCAAACACTTGGGGCATCTTCTACTGCATTCCAAAGCATATTACTAGGTAGCTGAATTGGAAGAGAAGCAGCTGGGGCTTGAACCGGTGCCCATATGGGATGCTGGAGTTGCAGGCGGAGGCTTAGCCTGATACACCACAATACCAGCCCAGTGGATTTTCATTACAAAGAAAACCTAAAAGCATTTCATGTTAAATAGCCATTAAAGCCCCCATTTAAACACAAATACACAGACTACTGTCACATCCACAATTGTCAATAGACTCATCAGATTCACTATAAGGCCGTCCCAGGAGAGCTGAGAACTGGCACACGCAGCTTGGGACCTCAGAGCTTGGTTCACTGCTCCTCTCCTCTGGCCTGCTCTCAGCTGAGGGAGAGGCAGAGCTGGTGCTCTCCATGTGACTCCATTCTCATGAACACACATCACTGTCCCCAGTGTGACATCTAGGGTGACAAAGAGGTTGTACGTGCTCATTTACACATGTCCAAATGTGAAAAAGAGGGACGTAATAATTCTAAGGATTTCTTTCTCTTTATTGCTGCAGTATAACTGCCACATCCACAACGCACCATGTGAATTGTCTAGCTCACAGAACTTTGTCCGCTGCAAACTTCGGTGCACTTCGGTCTAACCACCCAACACATGACAGTACTTCCATCATCACCAAGAGTCCTCAGCCCCCATCTGGTCAATTACAAAGTATGTCCTCCAACCACAGTGGACTCCACCACTGCACTCTAGCTTTGTCTCTTCCTGGAAGCATGTATATGGACCATATGGCATAGATTTCCTGTGTATCTGGCTTCCCTCAGGCAGCATGTCTGTGAGGTTCATTCACTCTGTCTTGTGCATTAGCTGCAGTCCATTTACTTTTATGGCCAAGCAGGATTCCATTGTATAGACACACTTTGCTTTGCAATCCCAACCACTGGGTATTCAACCCCTATTTTCAGTCTGGGGCTAATAAGCAAGATTGCTGTAGATATCCTCGTATGAGTATTTTTTTTCAGAAGCTCTTCAAAACATCTTGTTTATTTGTTCAATTATATGTCCTGTTATCTTTGTGAGAACAATAAATAATTTCTCAGGGGTCAGAGATTCAAGCCTTTTCTACCTGGCTTTGGAAGATACTTTAATTCACTTCTGCCTCTTTCTGAACTCTTATCAAAACCTAGAACAGGGATTGGACCTTGCTTTTGGAAATGGCATTTGCTGGAAGCCGGTCATGCTCATTTGCTTGTAGGTGAGGAGTGTTTGCAGCTGCTTGTGCCCCACAAAGGCAGAGCTGAGAAGTCATACTGAAGACCATGAATGACTATGACACAGGGAGTATACACATCCCTCAGTACTGTGCAGACTGAGACCTCTCAGATCCCCAAATCTGCATCCTGTTGCATGTGTGAAGACTTCTCTGCATTATTTATGCTACTTACTCCAACTTATCTTGTACAGGGAAATATGACAAAGAAGAGTCTGTCCATGTTCAAAACAGATGCAATTAAAACCAGCTGTCAATCCCCACTGATTGGGCTGGCTGTGCGCATGACCCAATCCTCCACAGAACAAACGTCCAGTCCTGGGCTCGAACATGAGGCAGTGGCTCAGAGGCGCAGTGTGCAGCAGGCAGGTCTATGCACTCCCAAAGGACAACACAGTCCACATTCTCCATCCAGTGAAGAAGCTAACCAGCAAGGAAAGTTGAGAAGAAAGTTTCCCATAGTATCAAGGGGTTGGTCTTTATCAATTACACCAGTAAAACAAGTCTTACCTTTTCATCTTCCAGGTATTTAGTGTCCACCGTGTTATAGCCATCTCCATGACAGTGGCGTCATACTCTGGACTGACTGATGCTGAACCGCATCCACCACTGAGCTGCCATCAGGAGCTTACACATCTTTCATCTCCAGCACGCAGTCAGACTCCGAAATCCTGAAAGGACAGTTAACAGAAATGGCCATGATGCTCCCCCATAGCATTTTGGATTCTGTTTCATTGATCGACGATTTAGTTAGTTTTAAAATTGAGGTGTTAGGATGGCCCCTAATCCGATGTAACTGATATCCTTTTTAGAATAATTAATTGTTTCGAAAGACAGAGAGAAAAAGATCATTTTGCTGGATCTCCCACTTGGGTGGTGGAGACCCAAGTTGAGTTATCACCTGCCAACCCGCAGGGTGTGCCATGTCAGGAAGCTGCAACTGGTAACAGAGCTTGGTTTCAAACCCAGACAGACACAGTAGGCCACAGGCACACTTTGAGGTTTAGGGCTTTAAAGGAATAACAACAAACATATGGTAACCAGCAAGGTTGTTATATCTAAGAATAAATGCCAAACACACCGTGATGGCGGCTGTGGGTGGAGACAACATTGCTGTCTCAATTGCTCTGAAAAGCTGGTACTCTGGGATACACAGAGTCTACCACTCACAGACTCTGTCCTGCTTTTCCTCCTGCTCCTGCCCATCAAGCACCGACTCTCCTGCCCCTGATGCTGGACTCCTCCGCCGGCAGTACTCTCCTCACCGAGTTCAGTGCTGTACAGAGCAGGCTGCAGCCACCTTCCCTAAACCAACGCCCTCCACAGCTCTAAACATGTCAGCCTTCCCAGCCCCCCGTTGTCTCCGTACCTCCTACATTCAGGGTTACCCAGAATGGGGCATCCTTGGCCACATTCCTTCTCATTCAAGAGCTCTGCTTGGAGCTCTTATCTACACTCAGGACTGTCTTCTGCATCCCAGTGATATTTTTCATGCCTCATTACTACTGGCCACGTACTAAAACAACCCAACACACACACACACACACACACACACACACACACACACACACACACACACACACACACACGTGTTAGAGAAATAAATCAAAGCAGTAAAAGACAAGATTTGAATCCAAGGCTGTCTGATTCCAAAGTCCTTGGATGAAAAAATTCACTGATGTCTCCCAAACTGAAGATGGGTGATGGATGGCAAGTCACAAGCCTGTCTGGCTAAATGTCTGCTGCATAATTCTACCTGGATTAACCAGTCAAACTCTCTTTTCCTGGTTATCTCACAGGATGGTCTCCCCCACAGCCTTGGCATACAAGGTGCAGCACCCAGTTGATGCCCTTTCAACAGAGGACTTGTAGTCCAGGGGTCACCAACCTCCCAATGCCAGCCCCATCAGCCTGCTCAGTTGCACGGCCTCTTACCTAGGAGCATCTGCCTGTGGACGAGAGCCCGCGGGAGCTGCAAACCCCCTTGTGCAGCACCCAGGGCATCCAGACTCTCCTATAGCCTCCAGGAGATCCTTATGGATTTTTTCTTACAAAATCAGCCCAACTCTTCAACATAGTTATGTGTCTCTTTCTCTCGCATACTGCTTCCCCAGAGGGAGCTGGCTTTTCCTCTTCACCCAATGGCTTATGGGTTCAAGAAACACATTTTCTGTAGCTTATCTGGGTCCTTCTTGTTATTCGGGTGAGAATAATACTATTTTCAGTGTCCTGTTTTCTCACTGGAAGTGGAATTTTTTTTCACTCACTTTTGATGAATCAAATTTTTACATATTTTATTAATTTATTAATCTCTTTCCATACTACGTACTTTCAACATCTTAGATACAAAAAAAACTTTCCTCATTTCTATTTATAGATAATTCCCAGTATTTCCTTTTAAACATTTTATAAATTTGCTTTTCACATTTTACATTAGTAACATAAATATGTTATAAGGTAAAGATTTTCCCCTAAATTTGGACTACCTACTAATTTAATAATATCCTGGTATCATTTACTGAGTGTCTTGTGTTTTCTCACATTAAAAAATTAAGTGTGCATATATGCATATATCTCAATTCTCTTTCTAATGCCTATATTCTGTTTCATTAGTCTAACATAGCCTATAAGATTGATACTACAAGACTGTAGTCTCATTGGCTCAAATTATTCTTCAAAATCATCTGGTTTTTGTCTTTCATTTTACTACACTGATTATAACATCAGCTTGAACAAATTCATGAAAACATTCTCTTGGATTTTTTTTTTCTGGAATTACTTTGGGCATTTCCACGATGTTAAGTGTTTGTTTCCATGAACATGGTATTTTTTCCCCCATTTATTTAGAGTTTCCTGAATATCTTCCAAAAGGGCTCGCAATTTTTTTTATCCGTAAAGAGCCTATATGTATACTTTAAAGAGTTTTTCCCTAGGTATTTATGGTAGAAAGTGTTGAGTGGCCCTAAAACCCGCCTTCTCACCTTTTGCCTGGGCATGTGAGCAGATTACATTTCCAAGTCTCCCTTGCCTCAGGTGTAAGAAGTCTTTTTCCTTCAGGGTCCTTTGTGAGCATCTACACCTCTACCACCAGTGAGAAATCAAACGTGGCCAAGGCATCACAGGGCCCAAAGCCCTAAGGGATGAGAAGGAATGTGAGTTTCCAGATCAGCCCAAAAAGGTGTGTTGCCAACAGACCTGCAACAACTACTCTACCAGAGTCCCCACCTCCCAGCGTAGAGAAATGGCATGCAATGAGAAGTAAAAGTTAAAACCGTTGTGAGTTTTCACAAGGCTGAAGATGTTATGGCTGTGGAGATATAGAAAACCATCCTGGGGGATATAGCCATTTTTCCAGAACTTAGAAGTTGGAATTCTTCATTACTCTGTTTGTATATAGATGAACCACAAGAGCATTGCAGGCAGAGGAAAGCATGAGGTATGGAATCATGAGCTGCAGTTAGAGCAGGACAAAAGATTAGCAAGTGTGATGTTGGAAAGGAAGACAGGGGAGATGAGTAGAGAAGGAAGGGATGCTGCTAGCTGCAGATACCGTGGAATGTGCACTCAGTGAGCCCTGGAGAGCATCGTCCTTTATAAATTGTTGCTCGGGCAAAATGACAAAGTACACAATTCACGGGGACCCTGCAGGTACAGATTGTCCTTATCCTGCATGCTTAGCAGATAATCACAGGCCAAAGCGCTGGGTGCCAGTTTCCATGCCTCTTAACATAAGCCACGTGTATTGGATAGGAAACTGCAGGGAAGGCCACACCACACACCAAGACGGGCGCATCTCTGGTCAGACTGCAGAACAAAGACAGATAGTAACTTAGAAACCAAAGGGAGGTCACCAAAACAGCCAACATTGGCCCATCTCAATTCTCTTCTTTATTAAACAAAAATAAAACAAAACAAAAACCTTTAAGCATGGTTCAACTCTGTGTTAAGAATGTCAAAGGACCACTGAGGAAGTCTATTGCTGACCTGAGTGTCTTGTCAAATTCCCACAGATATTTTGCAACTAACATTTTTCCATTTACTGACCAAGAAACCTCTTAGCTACACACACACACACACACACACACACACACACAGTAACACTGAAGTTAGTACAAATCTGGTTCTTTCCTCAGAACACAAGACCAGGCATATAAAACAAGAGCACTTAGACTGTTCTGTCATTTCTTCAATAAAATTCTCTTCTTATCAGACAGTTCATCTGACAAATATAAGAATATTAATTCTTCAGCCAGAACAGTTATATTAAAATTTCTGCTTGCCAACAATTATAATAAAAACATGTCCAACGATAGCTTATAAGGCATACATACTAAGGGTCCAAACTTCCCCGCCCAAAAGCTACTAATGAAGAGGGCAGGGAAGGGGCCTGGGCAGCCCAGCAGGGAGGTGCTGCAGCCTGCGATGGGACAGGGCAGCCCCTCTGTTGCAAGCAAAGGGTGGGAGCAGACATTCAACCCGAGAGAGGAGGAGGGAGCTCTAGGCCCAGGACATCTAGATGTTCAATCAAGACCCACAGCATGGACAGGAAAGAGAAGAGAAATACTAATGGAAAAAATAGAAAGAATCACTACTGATATTCCAAGTCTGAGATGGAAGTCTGCTAGCCCATGGCACTAGCCCCACCATATCAGTATTTAAAAAAAAAAAAAAAAAAGAATTCCAGGGCCGCCTTTGTGGCATAGTTGGGAAAATGGCCCTCTTAGGGCATCCCATATGGGCACTGGTTTGTGTCCTAATTGCTTCTCTTCATATCCAGCTCCCTGCTAATGGCCTGGAGAAAGCAGAAGATGACCCAAGTACTTGGACCCCTGCCACCCATTTAGGGAACTCAGAAGCAGCTCCCTGTTCCTGCTTCAGCCTGGTCCAGCGCTGGCCACTACAGCCAAGTGGGGAGTGAGCCAGCAGATAGGAAATCTCCCTCTCTCTGTCTGTCCCTCTTTTTCTATAATTCTTTCAGATAAGTCTTCACACACACACACACACACTTTACTGTATAATTGTCTTTACAGACCCAACTTCATCACACTTGAAATACACCAAATGAATATATCACTAAGAAGTAACAAAGACAGACACTCAGTTTCAATGTAGCAAAAGAAGCCACCCAAAACCTTCAGAAGAGGGTATACAACTTGTTTCCTGCAAAGTTAGTGGTACCAATAAAACCCAACCCCGATAGAGTTGACATAGATCCAGTGTTTGTGAAATTAATCAGAGAGCTGCAGCTATTACATGTTGTTTAACTGGATTTCTCATATCTTATGTAAATAGACTTAAAAGCTTATATTTTGGTTACATATCACTAAATCATGCTCCATGCAACTTAAGTGTTAGTGGTTTTGATTTCAGAACAAGTATTGTAACAACTGACAACTGGTAAGGGCACTAAATTAATTCACAAGCAGTAGGAATTCTGATCCTATGCAAAATTATGGAGATAAGGTAAAGGGGAGAATTCTTGGCCTGTGTGTCACCAATTTACATTAATATTATTACAAAGACTCAGTAATGTTAACAACTTTCAATCTATTGCAACCATAATCCATGTTTGAAAATTGTTTCAAAAATTAACCTTTTCTGTTTCTAAGCCTTCCTTTTATATTGTCTGATCAACCCAAGAGATGGTAAAAAGTTGCATCTTTGGAGAACCTGGCTTCACCAACCAAGTGGTAGTTGTGAAGCCAGATATGAAATGAGCATCTAGAGGGGATAAAAAGTTACCTCATTGTTTCAGAAACTAGACTTCAGATAAAACATATGTCCACAGGGTGCAGTAATGGGTTCGAGAAGCAACCCCCCCACCCCCCCCAAAAAAAAATCTGTGTTTTAAGCAAGAAGTACATACAAAGGATTCACAAATAGTCCGTTTGTTTTAGAAGCTGATTTTCATTGTATCTTACCAGATTTCTAGACGACAAATCAGCGGTTACCAGGTATTTGTGGAGTCTTCAAAAGTTCACAGAAAATGTGTTATGAAAAAAATTATACATGTTTTAAAACATTTTGTGCCCGTTTAATTCTATTTTCCATTAACGTCTCTGACTTGCCCTTGTCTATATTTTCCTTGATAGTAAAAGCCCTTGATGTTGAGGTATGAACTTCAAAAGGCTGAGATTTTAAGAGTTTTAGGGATTCTTTTTCCACATTCTTGAGTGTGCAGAGGGCACACTCAAGTCAGTTACATCAATCAATAGCTCTGGGCTTTCTCCTGTCTCAGAGCTTATGTTCTTTTGAGGTGAGGAATCAACATCTAAAAAAATAAAACTTCTAGAATAAACATTTAACATCTGAAAAACAACATACAGTATTATCCCCTCTGAGGGGAACATTTTGTTGTGTAAATGTAATGCACCATGCAGGGAAGGACTGTTGCCTATCCAGGAAAATGGTATTTGTAATAATTCATCTGGATGGTAAGTATGACTAAAAGTTTAAATCATACCTACTTTTCCTGTTAGTTTATGCATGAAGTCCTTGCAGGATTTACTCTTCTAGAATGTTCTATATTCTTATAGCTGTGACACTCATTACATTATTAATTTCAAACTACTATATAGAAATGAGAAATAGGTAGATTGACTGTGGTCACCTTCCATCCCATGGGGTCGCACAGCTCCAGGACAATGGAGCCTGCAGACCTTCCCTGGGGACATTTCCAGGGTTGCTCGGATCAGGGCATCCTCCATGTGGTGCAGAGCTGGGTGCTGCTGCAAGGACAGACACTTTCTAGTGCTTTCTTACCCTCTTCAGTGTGTGCATCCAGTTTAAAATATAAAAGGAGGAACAAGTATTTCTAAGCACATCAGATTTCTCAGCTGGATTCTACTCAAGTAGAAAAAGAATCCTGCATATTAAAGATGTTATGGCATAAGAAAAAAATCATGCTGTCAGCCGTCTTAGAATATTGGGGGAGGAAAGTATCATTATAACTCAATCTCTGTGGGGGTAGGGGAGGCCAAGAGCTGATACTCTTCCTTTATAATCTGTCTGAATTGCAGGCTTACAAACTTCAAAATTTTTATGGTAAAATACAGGATAATTTTGTAGGGAGATGGAGTGGGTGAACACCATACTTATGAAGCACTTTTAAAACTTTCTAGGAAATGGAATTAGAAGTTTATTTCGGTGCCCCCCCCCAAATTTGAAATGCATGAATAAGAGAAGTCATCATAAAAGTTCACAAAAATGTGCATTATGAAAAACTATACATTGATTTTAAAATTCGTTAATTGTTTTAACATCTGCAAATAACTTGCATAATCTCCTTCTCCTCCTTTCTTATAAGCAGAACAACAGAGACAGGGAGAAAGATGGAAAGTAAGGGCTTTGCTAGGTCGCTCCCCAGGGTCCACATGGCTGGCGTCAGGCTGTGTCAAAGCCATGAGCCAGGCACACAATCCAGGTCTCCCACGTGCATGGCCGGAATACAACTCCTTAAGCTACTCTTACTGCCTGCCAGGCTCTGCATCATCCGGAAGCCGGAGCCAGAGCCGGAGCCAGAGCGGAGTATGGAAACCCGGCACTCTGTGGGACACAGGTGTCTTAATTCCCAGCTCAACACCCAGTGGAGCTCTTCAGCCTAGTTCCCATGAATTTCTGGAGCCACCTGTAAATGAGATCACATATCTTCCGTTCAGATGCTCTCTCTGCTTTCCTTTCTCCAAGCCCAGACCACTTCAAGTCCCCTGGTGCTTTTGTTTCTGTGGAGGCATGCTAAGATCTCTTTCGATCTTTAATCAAATCATTATTTCCACTGACATGTCCAAAAGTTTCAACTCACAGACTGAGGGACCCCAGTTGGTCATGAGGAATACATCTAAGTAACCTAATAGCACAATGTTAGAGGAATTTGGCCCAGTTTCATACTGAAACTGAGAAAAATATCTCATACATTACCAAACCAAAAAATGCAAAGAAGAAAAAAAAAGATGCTTTAAAACAAGTTTAGGACATTTACCTTAAAAATTCAGATGATATGGGCCTAGCACAATAGCCTAGTAGCTAAAGTCCTCGCCTTGAAAGCACCAGGTTCCCATATGGGTATTGGTTTTAATCCCAGCTGCCCTGCTTCCCATCCAGCTCCCTGTTTGTGGCCTGGGAAAGCAGTCGAGGACGGCCCAAACCCCTGGGACCCTGCACCTGCAGGGGAGACCTGGAAGAGACTCCTGGCTCCTGGTTTTAGATCAGCTCAGTTCCAGCCATTGCGGTTACTTAGGGAGTAAATCAGCAGATGGAAGACCTTCCTCTCTGTCTTTCCTTCTCTCTCTATAGCTGATTTTCTAATAATAATAATAAAAAATTCAGATGATACTATGAGAACACTGAAAAAAAAATCATTACCATGATCTGATCAGAAATTTTTAAAAATTCCAGCAATTTTGAAATCAGAGTTGAGGTTTTAATCATTTTAGCCTCTTTTACCTTCCCATAGTAGTCTTACCAATGATGAAATACAAGCATGACAGCTTCCCTCTGATTCTTATACACCTGTTAGATAAAACATCCCCTTGAAGTATCACTCGAAGCTGTGATTGCCCCTGGAGGACAGTTTTATTTGCAGGTGAAATAGAGTCTTCCAGTAAGAATTGAAACAAGGGCCCAGCGCAATAGCCTAGTGGTTAAAGTCCTCGCCTTGAATGCGCCAGTTCTAATCCCAGTGGCCCTGCTTCCCATCTAGCTCCCTGCCTGTGGCCTGAGAAAGCAGTCGAGGATGGCCCAAGAACTTGGGACCCTGCATCTGTGTGGGAGACCTGGAGGAAGCTCTGGGCTCCTGGCTTCAGATTGCCTCCGCTCTAGTCATTGAGGCCGCTTGGGGAGTGAACCATTGGACAGAAGAACTTCCTCTGTCTCTCCTCCTCTCTATATATCTGCCTTTCCAATAAAAATAAATAAATCTTAAAAAAAAAATAGAGTTGAAACAAGCAGAAGTGAAGGGTAACAATCCTGAACAATGGGCAAATGCTGTGAGGTGGGGGCCACGATGGCCAGCTGGGCCTGCTGTCTGTCCCTCGGATGCTTGTGCCAAATCGCGTGGCCTCCACAGAACTGAAGGACCTTGAGGAAAGCAGAAAGGAGTGACACATCAACGTAAAGAACTGCCCACATCTCCTCTTGCTGTGGCGCGCTGAGTGCGTCCCCACCCGTGAGCTCTGTGGCATCTTCAGCGCGGCTCTGACAGGCCTCCCCCGACCTGCTGGGATGGGCCCGTGCTTCAGCACCAACAAGTTAACCCTGTTGTTGGCTTTGTGGGTAACAGTTGGGGCTGCCATGAAACACTGGAGGCAGAAATAAACATGTGAAAAAGTACCAGAGAAGAATATGCAAGACCCAAGAAGCCTCAAGATACACCTGTCCAAGGGTCTTTGTGAATGTGCTTAACTTCTTTTGATTCAGGGTTGATTTTCTGATGACAAGAAAAGAGTGCTGCTGTAAGGATCCATTGAGAGATGTTTCAAGACTCTTAGGAAATCTCCAGGTGGAAGAGAGTTGGCAGGTGTAACCGAACAACAGCCTCTAGCTTTAGCAGTGCTTTTTACAAGTTGGAACGATGACAACGGAACAGGATTATTAAAGACTAATCAATCACACACATACACACACAAAGAATAAAAACATTATTTCTCACTACAGAAAATGGACCTAGGTATTTTAGTGAACCACATTTTTTTAGAGATTTATTTATTTTTATTGAAAAGTCAGATATAGAAAAAGGACGAGACACAGAGAGGAAGATCTTCTGTCTGATGATTCACTCCCCAAGTGGCCACAAAGGCCAGAGCTGAGCTGAGCTGAAGCCAAGAGCCTCATCCTGGTCTACCACGAGTGTGCTGGGTCCCAAGGCTTTAAGTCATCCTCAACTGCTTTCCTGGGCCACAAGCAGGGAGCTGGATGGGAAGTGTGGCCACTAGGACATGAACCGACACCCATATGGGATTCCAGGAATACAAGGTGAGGACTTTGGCCAATAGGCTATTGTGCCGGACCTGAACTACATTTTTTTTAAAGGCTGAAAATAAACACCTGCTGATGTGAACGCAGGGAAGATAAATTTCAGCCCCTTCAATGGTTGTTTATGGATGCAGAAATTTGGGGTATACTGGAATACACTCAAACACATCTAGCAGAGGAAACTCCAGAAACCCTGTCCAAAGAGAAAAGCATGTTTGCTCCAACAGTGACTTAAGGCAAAGCTATCTAAAGTAGGTAAATGTAGGAGGAAAAAAAACGGATTCATTTTCTCTTAGAAATATATTTTTCCTAATTTTTATTTTTGGGAGAGACAAAGAACTCCTTTTTCCTGGTTGACTTTTGAAATGCCTACAAAGAGCCAGGAAATCAATGTAGGTCCCCGTGTAGGACGCAACAACCGAATCCCCCAGCCCACCCCTGCATCCCCCGGGCTGAGCAGGGAGCAGGCATCAGCAGCCAGAGCTCGGGCTTCAGCCCAGTGTGCCATGCTGGGGTCCCCGCTGCTAGGCCAAAGGCCAGCCCTGATTAGTTTATGGAGTTATTTTGCTGCAGACAGTAAAACTACAGGTCAATGCATGCAGATGTTGACAATAAACAGTATTAAAATAAGTAAACACTGACATGAAAACAAAACAAAACAAAACAAAACCCTTGGTCAATGGCAATGTTAAGGAAAGGTCAGACAACTGTAGGGAGAACTGGATAGATCTGTAGGAAAACAACTGATTATAAAGAGAGGACAGTGGGACTCCTTCCCAGTGTGGAGCCAGGGCTAGCTGCAATTCCACTGGGAAGGCCCAAGGTTAGGGTTAGGAAAGGAACGGGCAAGAAAGCCCCTACTCCTCAGGTTTAGATAGTAGATCAAAGAGGTGCTCCTCCCCGAGCCAGGGGAACAGGAATTACAGCCTGAGGAAAGGAACCTGTTAGAGGAACAGATTGTGTATTAGGAGACTCTTGCTGTTGAAATGTAAATTCCTCAAACCCTCATTCTAATGCCTACATGACTGCCTGTGTTTAAAAAGTCTGATGCTAAGTTTCTTTGGGGATCCCCCAATCGAGCTTCCAGACTCAGAACCCTAACCATCAAAAGACAGAGGACAGAACAAGTCAACCACCTCAGCTGTATGTTGGCAGCGAAATAGTGGGCAAACGGAGACTCTATGATGGACTATGTCAATCAGTGGATTCTTCAATGACCTCATCGTGCTTGGAATGGCAAGACTGGCAGCAATTCATAACTGTTCAATTAGCAAAAGCACTTGAGCAAGAACCTCGGAGCATGCCCCACATCCGGGACCTGGGATGGGTGGGAGACTTGGTGGGGCTTCTCCCTTAAAATCCCCTTTTACATCAGATATATTAAGGAAACAATACGGAACAAATTGTCCTGCCCATCTTCCTGTAGCACTTGAACCTTTTTACCCTAATTATATGAAGATTGTCAAAAATTAATTTTTAAAAAACTGACTTTGTAATAAAAATAAATAAATCTTTAGAAAAAAAAAAGTCTGATGCTGGGTCCAGCACGGTGGCCTAGCAGCTAAAGTCCTCACCTTGAACGCGCCAGGATCCCATATGGGCACCAGTTCTAATCCCGGCAGCTCCACTTCCCATCCAGCTCCCTGCTTGTGGCCTTGGGAAAGCAGTCAAGGACGGCCCAAAGCCTTGGGACCCTGCACCTGCATGGGAGACCTGGAGAAAGTTCCTGGATCCTGGCTTCAGATCAGCATAGCACTGGCCGTTGCGGTCACTTGGGGAGTGAATCATCGGACAGAAGATCTTCCTCTCTGTCTCTCCTCCTCTCTGTATATCTGACTTTCCAATAAATGAATAAAATCTAAAAGAAAAAAAAAAAAGAGGTGTGATAGGAATCCTGCCTTCTGTGCTTCTTCCTTCTCTGAGTCACATTTAGGATTTAAGCAAGGCAGCAGAGGAACTCCTAGGGGATCACTTTAATTCTCCCCAGTGCAGAAAGAGCCTGAGGTTTTAACTGATGTCCTTGAATTTATCAAACACAAAACATCACTTCATTTTTTTTTTCTTGGCCCTTTTTTTTTTTCCTTCTTCTGGAGTTCCAATTGCAAGTATAGTGTATCATTTCACATTGTCCCACAAGTTTCAGAAACTTCTTTCGTTTTTATAAAAATCTGTTCTTTGACTTGAATAATTTCTCGTTCTGGGAATCTATTTGTAATTCCACTTTTTAGACATGCATAACTTGTTGCTGAGCCTGTCTAGCAATTTTTGGATTCAAGCATTTGTAATCATCATCTTTAGACTTTCCATGTTTCAGTCTTTTTGTTATTAAAGATACAATATTTTTCTGCAATTCTTTAATTACAACTTCATTTAATGTTAATTAAAATGTTACCTTTATTGGGCTGTTTGAGACATAAAACAGAATGCATACATTCCAGTTTTTATCCTTGATTTCTGGGTTTCTTATCTACAGTATTATAATTAAAATGCCCAATGCCCTGGTAACCAACAGGGGCCAAATGTCAAGGTCTATTTTTAGATCCCTATCCTACCTGCCTTCCTCACTTTTTCTTATTTTTTTATTTATTTAAAAGTTTTATTGGAAAGTCAGAGAGAAGGAAAGACAGAGAGAAATATCTGTCTGCTGCTTCACTCCCCAAGTGGCAGCAATGGCCAGAGCCAAGTCAATCAGAAGCCAGGAGCCAGGAGCTTCTTCCAGGTCTCGCACATGGGTGCAGGATCCAAAGGCTTTGGGTCATCCTCCAATGCTTTCCCAGGCCACAGACAGGGAGTTGGAAGGGAATTATAGCTGGGATACTCACTGGTGCCCATATGGGATCCTGTTACCTGTAAGGTGAGGATTTAGCCAGTAGACTATTGTACTGGGCCCCTCACTTTGTTTTAAATAAAACAGATATGATGATGGTTATCAGTTCCTACCCAAAAGCACCAACATCTTCCTTAGCCTTCGCTACCTGCTCATGACATCATGCATCTCCAGCTCTCTGCTGAAGCGTCCACTTCAAAAACAAGATGAATATTTTAGACAATAGAACATCACGTTCATTCCTGAGCTCCCTGAAAGGCCTGATATAATGTACTTGAGACCGTAAGAGTCATCTAGGGAACTCAATGAAGAACCGTTGAAGTTCTAATTTTCTTCTTCTCACAAGCCTTGATACAGTTTTTTTGGAACGTGACTCACATAATTTGGAGGCCTTTTCACTGAAAGTTAAAAGATGCTTCAAGAGGTTCGTGGAAAATGGAATTAAGAGACATGCTAACTTTGATGCAGAAGTATTCTAAAAATCTATATATTTTTTCCATAACAGTCATTTTTCATGATCTTCTTAAAGACCCCTTGCGTGGATAGATTTCAAATGCTTGCACCAAAATAAATGCATCTTTTAATTTGCTTTTCTGTGGCATTTCTGAAGTACCCTTATCCAAGTCAGGACTCTAGAGTCCCAACTTTCAATAGCTTCTACATTTCCTGATCCTCAAAAGTTCTGGGGTTGATACAACTACCTTGCATGCACAAAGAACTTCAATCTAGTATTTTTCACACATGTACATACAATCACAATCAATATTTACATTTTGATACCATAGGCTATCAGTTCAGTGAATCAGATTGAAATAATTTTAAACTATAAAGTTTCCTGTTTGGTTAAAATCAAAGCGATCATGTACCTGTCTATATTTCTATAGAAGGGCAAATAAATGCTGGTACAGACCTGTCTCCAGTTACTCCAAAGGCTCGAAATCATCGTCTATAAAGATTAGCTACAGCTGACGGCTTGGCACTGTCATTTAATGTGTACAGGACACACTGCGTCAGTCCCTTAACAGCAACCTCCATGTGCTGCCAGGTCATCTCAATCACACTTGGCCAACTGACGTTCCCCTAGGCCACCAACTTCCTTCCCCTTCCCCAAACTTACCTCCCGACATCACTTCTTCCCTAACCCTTGGTGACAATAACAGATTTTGGAATGTGTTTCTATCCCTTGCCAATTCCACAAGGCTTATATCCACAGAGTGCAGATTTGTAACCATTTCTGAAGCTTACAACCACAATCTCAAATACTAACTTCCTTTTATTGCCTCCCTAACAGTCACAGTGTGTCATGAGGTTTGGTGGGAATGCAGTCTATCATTTGTCAGAGACACACTGCTAAGGTTTCAGCTCAAAGAACAACATTGTGGAGAACCAGCTGGCTTCAGAGGATGATGCAAATCTACTGGCAGATAAGAAAGGTTTGTCATCACTGATGGAAATTGAGGGGGCAGGGGAGAGATATTAGACAAAGGATACAAGACTTCAGTTACACAGGAGGAAGAAATTCAAGACATCTGCTGTGCAACTTGGTGAGCCAAGTTAACAACAGCATACTATAGACTTGAAAACTGTTAAGAGAATAGATTGTGTTTTCACTACGAACATGCTAAGCATGTGAGATAATGTGTAGGCTGGTTAGCTTGATTTAGGCATTCCATAATGAACACATTGTAAAACATCACGCTGAATGAGATAATTTAGGCCATTTTTATATGAGAGCTAAAACAGGGCTGGCACTGGGATGCAGTGGGTTCAGATGACACTGGATCCCATATCAGAACACAGGCCTAGGTCTCACTGCTTTGTTTCTGATCTGGTTTCTGCTGATGAATGCTTATGAGGGGGGGGGACGGACAGTGAAAGACGGCCCAAGTGCTTGGATTTCTGCCGCCCACATGGGAGAGCAAGACGGAGTTTGTGGCTCCACACGTCATCCTCTCTCAGCCCTGATGGATGGAAAACCTTTCTCACTGTTTCTCCTTCTGACACTATGCCTTTCAAATACATACTTTCTTTTTTTTTTTTAAAGATTTGTTTTTATTATTTTTTTCATTGGAAAGGCGGATATACAGAGAGGAGAGACAGAGAGGAAGATCTTCCGTCCAATGATTCACTCCCCAAGTGCGCCCAACGGTCGATACTATGCCGATCCAAAGCCAGGAGCCTCTTCCGGGTCTCCCACGCGGATGCAGGTTCCCAAAGCCTTGGGCCGTGCTCCACTGCTTTCCCAGGCCACAGGCAGGGAGCTGGAAGGGAAGCGGGGCTGCCGGGATTAGAACCGGCGCCCATATGGGATCCCGGGCGTGCAAGGCAAGGACCTTTAACCACTTGCGCCACCGCGCCGGGCCCCATACTTTTTTTTTAAATCTAAAAATAAATAAGTGGATAGTTAAAAAATAAATTTAAAAAGAAATTAAATATGGGAAATTAAATATGGGAAAAAATATTGGAACAGATTTTTTTAAGTGAAAAAACACAAATAACAAAGTGAATTTCTGGGCCTTGTCCAATACACATTTGCTCCCATTATTGGGTTCTTCTCCAAGTCCAAGGTCACACTCAATCTCATCGAAAAATGTTTGTTATGTAGGATTTTAGTGAGGTTATAAGGGAAAGAAGAAAAGAGCAGAAAATGGAAGGAGAGGAGGTAACACCCAGCTTGTCTAGTTATTGTTTCTTCAATGTTTCTAAGACAAACATAAGAAGTAACGTAACAATAGAATAATTCTTCATTGAATAATAGAAAATGTCATAGTTGTTAAACTCATGACCCATTTCTTACCATTTATAAAAATATTTATAGAGCTTTACAATACAGTGATTCTTGACAAAGCTAATCTAATTCTGTGGTTTCTCAAAATTCTTTGCTGTTTTCTTTACAGGTGCACTTATTGAAAGTTAGAGAGAGGGAGGGAGGGAAGGAGAGACCAAGAGGGACTGTCCACGGACTGGTTTACTCCCCCAAGTGGCTGCAAGGCTGGCTGGCCAGCTGGGTGTGGGGCCCAAGCACTCAAGCCATCCTTGGGTGCAGCTGGGACATGAGCCAGTGCCCATTTAGGCTGCTGGCATTGCAGGCCGTGGTTGAACCCGATATACTACGACACCATTCCCTTCTCAAACGTAAGTCAAATGTTATGCTATTATTATTGAGTAGCAAAGTTCATTTTTGTCACTGGAGAAAATCAGACCTTTCCAACCCAAGCAGAGACAAATATTAGTTCAAAATACACATTTTAGCCTTCATGAATACCACTGGGATACCAATGAGGATATTGGGGCTCAGCGGCCGACATAATCATTGTCTGATCTTCTATCTGAACTGTGATTTTAAATATTTTCTCTTCGTTCATAATTCATAAATGTATGGTGCCTATTATTCACCTAAACTACCTATCAAGAGTAGTCTAAGTTTATTTTTCTTAACTCAATTGTAAACTTGGTCTGAGTCATGTGTGGTTTGGAATGAAGTGTACTGCTGAACAGACTACATATTTAGGGGGAAAATAGACTCTTTATAGATCTAGTCATAATTGTCTTCTTTAGTAAGAGAACTCCACAAATGTACATTCGTGATCTCCAAACCTTTTAATACAAATACCTTAGTCAGGAGAGGTTCACTGTGACAAGCGGCATCGGCCTAAGTTCTTCACAGTTAAATCCAGTTCTGCTCACCGTAGCAATGACGCAGAATCATCAGGAGCTGAAAGACAAGAGCGACAGAGATAGAAATACATAATGGCTGTATTCCAAACTAAATCATTGCCAAGTCATTAAAAAAATAATAATAGGGCCCGGCGCGGTGGCGCAGGTGGTTAAGGTCCTCGCCTTGCACGCCCGGGATCCCATATGGGCACCGCTTCTATCCCAGCAGCCCCGCCTCCCTTCCAGCTCCCTGCCTGTGGCCCGGGAAAGCAGTCGAGGACGGCCCAAAGCCTTGGGACCCTGCACCCGTGTGGGAGACCCGAAAGAGGCTCCTGGCTTTGGATCGGCATAGTATCGGCCATTGCGCTCACTTGGGGAGTGAATCATTGGACGGAAGATCTTCCTCTCTGTCTCTCCTCTCTGTATATCCGCCTTTCCAATAAAAAAAAATAATAAAAATAAATCTTTTTTTAAAAAAAATAATAAATTAGAAAAATGAGCCTAAATAATTATTTCATCCCATTACAATAGGGTTTAGT